AGAGAGAGAGAGAGAGAGAGAGAAAGAGAGAGTTGTCGTTCGCATACAATTCTTGCCTACGTATTAATGATAATCTAACAATGAAGCCTCACTTTGTGTGGCTGCTCTTTTTTTCCTCACAGCTGATGTCTTTTAAAACTAGCAGCAATCAGGGCCGAGTGAAGTAATTAGCTTTAAGCTAACTTTGGGCTTGTCTGCTAGCTCCCACAGCGACGCATTACATCACTGAAGCCACTGGTCAAGCATAGATCGCAATTATCTTTTTGCCTGTTTTGGGCAATGTAACACTTTTTCTTTTTTTAATATCCGAAGCACCACATGTTCTGGAACAGTCGACAGCTCTGCATTAATTTATATGAATGGTGCATCCTGCATCGGTTGTGTCTGAATGCTATGCTGAAGGCACAGTCTGAAAAGGCAGAGGCAAATGTCTCTATTGTTGCACCTCCGATGTGCCAATTGCAGAGAGCATGTTGTGTTAAAGTGGCGACAGTCTTATTTGGAGATTTGTTTTTCATTTTGGATTCCATACATTATTTTTGACCTGTTACTCCGTCTGTGCAGGATAACAGTGAACTGGAGCCTGTGCCATCTGAAGGGAGGCGGGCTACACCTTGGATTGGTTGCCAGTCAATAACAGGTCACACCAATGGACAAGTGAGTCTTCAAATCACCAAACGTGAATTTTGGAGAAAACCCACATAAGCAAAAACATGCATCCAGAAACACCATCATCCATTTTCTGTAATTCTGAATTTTACTCATCGCTTTTTGTTATTGGTTTCACTATTCAGTTTTTGTCGACCTGTCTCTGCTGCCTACTACAGCCAGTCAGCTTGTCACATCCGTTCTGGCTTACCAAGTTTTCTTGACAGTTTCATGATTCCAAATGTCAATCTAGTTGTAGGTCGTGCTTTGTATTACACCTGTGTCATTGATTGTTAAGTAGTACTAAGGTTGTGTCGCTGATGGTGTAGTGGTACACTCGCCTGACTTGTGTGGTAGCAGCGTGGGATCGGTTCCCATTCAGTGACATGTGGCTGTGGGGTGAATGGTTGTTTGTCTCTCTATGTGCCCTGCGACTGACTGGCAACAGGTTCAGGGTGTAGTCTGCCTTCCGCCCGAACTCAGCTGGGAGAGGCTCCAGCACCCCCCCCCCCAACCCACTTCGCAACTCTGTTCAGGATAAGTGGTGTTGAAAAAAAATGCTGAGTGGTAGTGATCAGGTCTTTCGATGACCACGCACCACAATTGAAAAATAGTTCCTGAATTCATTATTTCATGTTTGTGAGAGAGAACTGTGCTCCCTTACCTAATTGTTGCGTGCGGATGGTATGTGAGGGCATGCTGGGCTCTCCACTGCCCAGGATATTGCTGGCAATGACCTGAAATTCATAATCCATCCAGGGTACTAGGCCAATCACATGTGCAGACTCCGCATTCCCCTCAATGTTCACTGGCTCTGTTTTGAAAATGAGATGAGTTCATGTAGACGTAAAGGGTCATCAAAATTTATATCAAAATTAAAGTTTTTTTATTTTGTTATGACTTACATAAATTCCAGCATTTCAATTGATATTGTTGATTTTTAAACAGCAAACTTTCAAACAGGTATGTCTTCACTTTAAAACCACCTCATAGTTCATGTTTTAATTATTTTTTGACAGTTAACACACCGGTCCGCATCTGTTTCCACTTTGATGACAGAGAAGATCTTCCCATGATCACATAATTGCCGATTGGACTGTGGTTGTCATAGCCACGACTCCACCTCAGCTCCACAGATGTCTCTGCTACATTCCTTACCAGTAAACCGCCAGGTGGTCCAGGGGGCCCTGGGCACAACACAGAAGCCAAAATTAAGATCTCACACCTTGTCTACATAAAAAGTACTTTACATTCACACCTGAATGTACTATTTGGGAGTAAAATGTTATTCATTTATTTGACTGGAACATTTTTACTGAAAGATTAACCGAAGGAATTTAAGTACACAAATATTTGTGTTTGTTTTTTTACCAGTGTAAAAATAAATGAATGAATAACGTTGTTGTCATGATTCTGTTTGTGACCAAAAGGTGGCACTGCAGCTGCACACCTGTTGGTCATTCCGTAATTATTGCTTTAAAAGGACTCCCAGCCCGACCACTCATTGTCGGGTCATTGTTGCTGTTTGTTTGCTACTGTCATGTTTGTTCCGGTCATGTTTGGGTTATTGATAGTTTTTGTTTCAGTCATGGTTTTTGTTTGATACTTTGGATTCTTTTTGTTTTCAGGACTTTGTTTGTATAAGATTTAGTTTTCTCTGTGTTTTAATACAATTTGTCAAGTTCACGCTGCTCCTCCCTCCTGCCTGCTTTTTGGGGTCCTCCGCCACCACGCATCGTGACAGTTGTGTCGTCAATTGTCACTGTACAGCACCCACAGGTGTGTGGCAGTAGTACAGATTACTTGAGGGTTTTCCCCTCAACAAATTGAACGAAAACAGTTCTAGTGGCCAATCATACAAACCTAATGCCAATGAAGTTGGGACGTTGTGGTAAACATATATAAAAACAGAATGCAATGATTTGCAAATCATGTTCAACCTATGTTTAATTGAATACACTACAAAGACGAGATATTTAATTTTCAAAGTGATAAACTTTGTTGTTTTTAGTCAATAGAAATTTACTTAAAATATTATGGCTGCAACACGTTCCAAAAAAACTGGGACAGGGTCATGTTTACTACTATGTCACGTTACCGTTTCTTTTAACAACATTCATTAAACATTTGGGAACCGAGGACACAAATTTTTGAAGATTTGTGGGTGGCATTCTTTCCCATTCTTTCTTAACGTACAGCTTCAGATGTTCCACAGTCGGGGGTCTCTGTTGTCATATTTTACGCTTCATAACTCACCACATGTTTTCAATTGGAGACAGGTCTGGACTGCAGGCAGGCCAGCTTATTGCCCTCATTCTTTTACTCCGAAGCCACGCTGTTGTAACACGTGGTTGTAACATGTGGTTTGGCACTGACGTGCTGAAATAAACAGGGGTGTTCATAAAAAAAATATGTTGCTTCGATGGTAACATATGTTTCCCCAAAACCTGTTCGAACTTTTCAGCATTTATGGTCCCTACACAGATGTGTTTGTTACACATGCCATTGGCACGAACACAGCCCCATTCCATCACAGATGCTTTCTTTTGAACTTTCTGTCCAAAACAGTCCAGATGGTTCTTTTCCTCTTTGGCCTTGAGGAAACAATGCCCCCAATTTGCAAAAATAATGTGAAATGTGGACGCGTCAGACCACAGTACACTTTTTGACTTCGCATCAGTCCATTTTAGATGAGCTCAGACCCAGAGAAACCAGTGTTTCTGCGTGTTGTTGATAAATGGCTTACTTACAGATGAAGCGTCCACCTGAATTTATTGGGTTTTCTGAGGTGTTCCTGAGCCCAAGTGGTGGCTTGATACATTGTGCTTTGATGCAGTGCCACCTGAAGGATGGAAGTTCACGGCCATTCAATGTTGGTTTTGGGCCTTACCGCTTACATGCAGTGATGTCTCCAGATTTTCTGAACCTTTTGATGATATGGTCCGTAGATGATGACAACGGTAAATTCTTTGCAATTGTACGTTGAGGGACATTGTCTTTAAACTTTTCGACTACTTTCTCACGCAGTCATTATTTTGCTTGTGACAAATTGAGCAATTCAGGGAAGCTCCTTGTCTACCCAATCATGCCACCCACCCACCAGTTAGCCTGTTCACCAAACATTCCAAGCATTCCACAACGTTCTTAGTCTTTTTTACCACCCATCCCAGCTTTTGTGAAACATGTTGCAGCCATAAAATTCTAAGGTGATGATTATTTGCTGAAAACAATCATGTTTATCAGTTTGAACATTAAATATCTTGTCTTTGTAATGTATTCAATTACATATAGGTTGAACGTGATTTGCAAATCACTGTAGTCCGTTTTTGTTTTGTTTTTTTTATATTTAACACAACATCCCAACTTCATTGGAATTGGGTTCGTACATATAATAATGTCTAGAGACATTAGTTTTCTTGTAATATGTTAACAGTTATTGGCATTTCATGCTCTGGAAAAAGGAACGACGAGACCACTGCAAAATGATCAGTCCCTCTGGTGTTGCTAATTATAAGTACGGTATATGGCTGAGTAAAATAAACTATTTTGTACTGTTAACTACTGGAAGGAGGCCCAAGGGAAGCCAAGGACAAGACTATTATGTTTCCCTGTTGATCGCCAGAAGCAGCAGAAAAAAGATGGATAGAGCTATAAAATAGATGGATGGAGCTATAAACTACTGACAACATAACTCATTTCAATTTCAAACATTTTGAGCATCTGTCAGACCTCTCCAAATGAGGGTCAAAACACCAAATACAGCTGTGTACAGTATTTGTAATGTATGTTCGAATGAGAACTGAAATGCATCTTACCTCGTACAACCAGTTTGGCTGTAACTGAGGCGCTGTCGACCACAGTTTGAGCTGCACATGTATAAGTGCCTGCCTGACTCAGCTGAGCGTTCACAATAAGCAGGTCTCCAGTGGTTTCCTTCTACAAGGTTGCAACCACAAAAAACAAACAAACAAACAAACAAACAAACAAAACATAATAGAGCAATATGCTTGCAAACATAATATGTTTTAAAATAATTCAGATTTAGAGCCATTTTGTTTACTATAGTTTAATACTCCAGAACTATGAGAGGCAGCTTAAATAAAACTTAGATAAAATATAAAACTGTGTCCTGTATTCTCTTGAGTGGAGTGAAAACATCTCAAAATAAGAAAGACAACTACTAATAGTTGACTGTGCTAATGTCTTTCAATATTCTATCCACTAGGGTTGTCACTATCGAATATTCACTCACTTCACTTTCTGAAACGGATTCTATTCCTGGTTTGGTCATAGTTTTCTAAAGTAAAGGCAGATGTTTGCAAATTTCTTACTTTGATTAAAGACATAAAATAATGTATTTTCCGAACTATAAGGCGCACCTAAAAGCATTCAATTTTCTCTAAAAATGACTGCACCATATAATACGATGCAACTTATGCATGGAATTACAATTTTCCGCACTGAGTTGTTTCCCAGTTGGTGCTTCCATGCCATCTAGTGGTAATTAGCAGGAACCAATTGTAACCTAAAAGGGTTCTGCCTGACACTAATTGACATGTGCATTCCCCAATACACACTCAAACTGACAGCTACTTTTTGGAGCTCTGTGTAGCCATTATGAAACAAAGACAATATCAAAGCATAGTTAACTGTATTCTCTTGAGTGGAGTGAAAACATCTCAAAATAAGAAAGACAACTACTAATAGTTGACTGTGCTAATGTCTTTCAATATTCTATCCACTAGGGTTGTCACTATCGAATATTCACTCACTTCACTTTCTGAAACGGATTCTATTCCTGGTTTGGTCATAGTTTTCTAAAGTAAAGGCAGATGTTTGCAAATTTCTTACTTTGATTAAAGACATAAAATAATGTATTTTCCGAACTATAAGGCGCACCTAAAAGCATTCAATTTTCTCTAAAAATGACTGCACCATATAATACGATGCAACTTATGCATGGAATTACAATTTTCCGCACTGAGTTGTTTCCCAGTTGGTGCTTCCATGCCATCTAGTGGTAATTAGCAGGAACCAATTGTAACCTAAAAGGGTTCTGCCTGACACTAATTGACATGTGCATTCCCCAATACACACTCAAACTGACAGCTACTTTTTGGAGCTCTGTGTAGCCATTATGAAACAAAGACAATATCAAAGCATAGTTAACTACTGGCTAAATGAAGGAAGAAGGAGACAAGCAAGACTTCTCAAGATATTTAGCCCGTTGTGGGTGTGAGCCCACGAGGTTTGTGTGCCTTTTTGTCAAATCAATTGTCTTCATAACTTCTGTCTTTCATTTATTGTTTTGTCATGCCATTTGTATTTATATGTTTCATGTTCTTGTTTGTGACCGGTTCTCATTGTTACAGCTGCAGCAGTTGTGAAGGCTCTATATAAATAAAGCTGTATTGTAGTGCACTCCCTTTAGGGTAGCACCATCTAGTGGATGCATAGCGCAACCGTAGCCACTATTGTAACTTAAATTATATGCGCCTTATGATACAGTGCGCCCTATTTTTGAAAACAGTTTTACAATAGGCCGGGGGTCGGCAACACGTGGCTTCAGAGCCGCATGCGGCTCTTAGCGACATCTAGTGGCTCCCTGGGGTATTATAAAAAAATGTTTGAAAATGGAAAAAGATTTTGCTAGGAGGCTAATATAGCTCGAAATAGATACACAGTGATCCCTTATTACTGTAGATACATGTTGCAGCTCTGAAAAAGGAGAGCTGTGGTGTAGGTTTTTTGAAAACATACACTGTATTTATGCTTTTAACAGTCTCGACAAACACAGACACGTCTGTGTCCGACTCTATGCCTTCTCTCTTCTCGTTCGACTCGAGAGGTGTTCAAAGACAGCCTACGAAAAACGGAAATGAATGATCATTTCACTGACACTAAGAAAAGCGAAAATAATGCACCAAAACAAAAAAATCTAAATAAAATAAATTCTATGGGGGCGTTTGTGAACACACAACAAAGGAATGAATAACAAAAACAATTCAGAGACAGTCCAGTCTCCTACAAACATACAGCATGTGTTTCCTTCATTGTAAGTTTTATAGAAGGCTTTTATTTTTTTGTGGCTCCAGACATATTTATTTTTGTTTTTTTTTGTCCAATATGGCTTCAACATTTTGGGTTGCCAACCCCTGCAATAGGCCATTCATTGAAGGTGCGCCTTAAAATCCGAAGTGCTTTATAGTGCAGAAAATACAGTAATCAGTCTGCGTTCAGGAAGAACAACAGAAATCAGAGAAGAAGAATTTTGATAATTTAAAGTCAAACAATGGCTATTAATATTATCCACAAGAAATCTCAGCATTCACTCACCCCTTCTATTCGGTGGTATGGACCTGTGGAGTCCTCCAGGTCCAGAAGAGCCCCATTGAGGGCCCAGGTGAAGGTCAGGTCCATGGTGGGATCATGAGAGGCATGGCACTGGAGTGTCACATTCTCACCTTGATTGATGTCGGCGTTGGATGGAGCCAATGTGATTTTGGTCGCATCTGTAGGTTTTGGACCACATTGAGAGTTTTTCAAGCAACACACAAGAATGAAGAATTCGTAAATTAAAAAGAGTATTCGGTTTGATGGTTGTATTCAGTAGCAACAGAGAGTATAATTGTCTTCTTTTTGGCACCCCAGCTTTGGATGTTTGGCATCTGCTTTGCTGTCGCAAATGCAAGTGGCAGTAATAAACAGTTATTATTTGTTGTAATAAGGAGATATTGTTTGGTTTCCAAAGCCAAGTTTGTCAAAAAAAACTAGAGTCGAATTTCTGTGAATGCGTGTAAATGATACCTCTGACAGAGAGGTGTCCTGTGCTGTTAGCTTTGCCCAGGTAATTCTCAGCAAAGCAAGTGTATTTCCCTTCATCTGCCCTGCTTATGTTAGTGATCCACAAGATTCCATCAGGAGTCACAGTTACCCTGGGCAGACATTTCACACAAAGTCAATCAGGGTTGCAACTGTAACATTAACAACAGTCGACATATTATGAGAAACAACAACACGGTATCTGAATTGTGATGGAAAAGAATGTCTTGGGTCAAAATGGTCGTATTTAGTTTGCGTTCTTGAATCTTGATTTGCGCTTGGACTTCCCACATTTGCCTCCATGTTTAGTTCTGAAATCACGTACCTAATATGTTATCTCGATGGCATCACTACGACACTCCTACATACCCACTTGCGCTGACATAACATTAGGAAGGTAACGGTCGTTAATAACGGTCCTGGGCCTGGCTGACCCAACTGGGAACCTCTGGGATGCTCATGTAATAAATTCATCATTGAATCATATGAATTGCTGTCTTTAAAAATACTTTTTTGTCATAACCTCTTCCGACGTGCTTTTAAAAAGCAGGCCGAGTGGGGCTGTTACATCACTGTCATCTGATTGGCCGACGAATGCGGTTTTTCAACTCCAACCCATTTCCTGGTTAAGTGAGCGAAGTCATAAAAATACACTGTATACACTATGCATAGATTGTGTTTTAGAATACTTGAAGATATGTACAAGATATGTACAATTTCATATGTGCCTGTATCTGAAATACTTCATCCATTGGTGCCAATTATATTGAAAATATCGTTAAGTATTGTTGTAAAACACAATATACTGTGCGTGTACTGTATGTACTGTATTCTTATGTCTTGGCGGTGGCCGGAGGCTGTCTTTCATTGGCTTAAACCCAGAAATAGATTGAAGACAGCCACATCATGCAATGGTAATTCAAAATATGAATCTCGCCACAAAACCAGGGGCCACACTTGCCACTCATGGAATCTATGCCAGAATCCCGCAAGTGTGCAGTGGAGGCTCCACAGTTCAGGTGAACTTTCTCCATTTGATTGGCGCAAGCTTGTAATTGGAGAAGCAACATGTAACGGAAAAGCGGCTTATATCTTGTCCACGGTCAGTGGCGCCATGGTGTCCCTACCTCTACTAAATGATATCCACATTGCTCTTGTAAAAGAGGGGAAAATACAGTATAACATCACATTTTTGCAAGACAGATTTAGAACTATCTCTCAATCTTCTTGAGACAGCTGTATTAAACTCAGTCAAGAGAAAATATCAGGTTACGTTTTTGTTTCTTTCACGTTCCACACACCCTTGATGTAACAATAATCACCGTTTTATTATCAAGGATCCATATCATAATCCGGAATTTATTTGTTGTTGTTACCTGCTGCTGTTGGTGAGCAACTCAGTCCCACGACTCCAGAACAGACTTGGTTTAGGGGCTGCTCGTGGGCGACACTCAATCATCACTTGTCCCCCTCTGGCTGCAGGGATCAGTTTCCGCACAGGGTTCAATCTGAAGTCTGGAGCCTGAACTGGAGCAGGGAGAATGCGCAGAACAGAGATGGAGTTGACCGAATTTTAGCTGAAGAGGCGGGTGCGATGTTTCGGTCGTTTATTCTCATTGATAGGATACTCTGCTTTACCTTGGACTCGAAGCTCAGCAGTAGAGTAGATAGTTCCATGCTTGTTCTCAGCGACACACTGGTACATCCCAGAATCCTCCAGGGCTAGGTTGCTGATTTTGAGACGAGCTGCATTTACTTCTACTCTATCCTGGAGAATTCATAGGGTTGTGGATGGAAAAACACAAGGGAGAAGGGAGGTTCTAAAGCAGGGGTGTCAAACTCATTTCACATTGTGGGCCACATACGGCCTCGGTAGATGTCAAGTGGGCTGGACCATTAAAATGATACCATATTCTGCTATAATTAACCAAAATATGTCTTTCCTTTGTTTTGGTCTAAGTAAGCAGAAGAACATTCGGAAAATGTTGAAATTTAATGAACATATCTTTTGCAAAACATTTCAGGAAGCACGTTACATTTCCTTAGACAAATGTGCCATTTACTTTTATCATTCACATATATGCATTGCAACTGATCCCACTGATTGTACAAAGGTACAAAACTTTAACAAGTAATTGGTATTGAAAAATATAGTAATGCACTTTAAGATTAAACGAGATTTATAAAGAAAGGAATGTTTCAACCATTTACACACGTGCATATAAAATCTAAATGTAATCCCTGCCTACACCTTACAAACTAAGGAGAGCGCTATTAAATGTGTTAAGAATAAATTATTCACATGTCCTTGATAGCGTCTGGTGTGTTGGGTCTATCTCAGTGAGAGATGAAGTGGCTGTTGTCTTCTTCTCTGATCAAAACAATGTTGTCTTCTACTCTGATCAAAACAGTATGTTCCTAGCGGATACTCCATGAATTGCACCTTATTAAAAATATTATCTGCGTCTTTAATGCATTTTTTCACTTTTAAATTATCCCGCGGGCCTGATGGAGCCTCCTTGGAGGGCCGGTTCTGGCCCGCAGGCCGTATGTTTGACATCTTTGTTCTAAAGTGTTTTCGCTTTACAGGTGTTGTTATTGTACTCATTTTCCTTGGAGCACAAATACCTCACCATTGAATAAAATAAACAGTGAAAATTAAAATATAAACACAACAAGACAGACCAAGGTTAAAGTTGCACGGGATGATCAGCGACACTGAATCTCCCCCCTGTTACGAACACCGCAATCTCCCTATTTTGTAAGGATTCCCAGGAGTGGGTAGTGTGATTGTACATTCGCATAGCCAAACTATCTCAAAGCCAGTTAAACGCAATTATAACGCTTTTCAAAGTTTCCACCAGCCAGTGAGGCTTCAAACGTCACCATTTTCACTTCCTCCCCTAACTGAAGCAAGCCTCGATACACGCGTTGCAGAATCGCCCCCTTCGTTACTTGATGCACGCCTCAACACATCTTGAAAGATCACTCGTTTTTGGAAGTAAATACATTGTTTTGGAGATCACTCCTGCCTTGCCCACCTGCTTCCCTGCATTTGGGTCATCCTAACTCCATCACTCAATCCCCGGACCATAACTGTATAAATTTTACATCTAAATAAGTATACTTTTTTTTTTCCTGTGTAGTACTCGCACCTGTGTAGTGAGCGGCTGTCCATTGCGGAGCCAGCGAATAGAAGGTCGTGGTTTACCAGCAGCCACGCAACTCCATTGCAGTTCAGAACTGATCTCGACCTCAGAGTCACTCATCACCTGCAACCAGTCTGGCTGAGCTGAAACACAAAAGACGAGCTTGAGTGAACGCTGGCGCGTTTGGCTGCCGCTGCTCAACCCGTATTGTATTGTCTTATGTTTTTTTGTCTTTGTAAAGTGTCCTTGGGTGTCTTGAAAGGCGCTTATAAATAAAATGTATTATTATTATTATTAAATGAAAGAACTGGGTTGAAAATGGCACATTACAAAAGTGGTAGTGTGTGAAAACAACAGCGATTGACTGTGAAGTAAATTAATGCTAACAAATACCTTGCACACTGATGCGGCCCTGGTACACATCAACTCCCTCAGAATTGTGGGCTTCACATTCATAAACACCCTCGTCATCAAAGGAGAGATCTGGTAGGATGAGAGTCGGACCCGCAACACTCGAACCTGCCTTAGACGGCATAAGTCCATCCACCTTTTTCCATCTCAGTTTTGGGACTGGACTATGAGAGGAAACAGACAAGTAAGAGTTCCAAGTAAAAAAAGATAAAGGATTAAATGTTTAGGTTGGGTATTTTCAAATGGCGGACCGTGGCGATGGTCCAGACCAAAAGTCAGGGTCTCATGTGGACCCACAGTCAATTGTGGTTAGATAAAGGGACGTCATATGGCTGTTTTTTTTTCCTCGCATACGTCACTGTCACAGACTGCGTACGCAGCTTTATTCAGTATCACAGTAGCACTTGTGATCGCGTGACCATAATGAGCAATCAAACCAGTTGTTTACTGTCAGTGATTTGAGGGGATTGAAGATGCGGCATGGCCTCCTCAAAAGGAGAGTTGAGGCAGAAAATAAAGTTTAAAGGAATGAATTGACCGGTGGTTGTAATCATTTTGGATTTAACATTATAGTTCATTTTTATTTTGTCTTGACTTGGCTGTTGCAAGCATCAAATATAACTTATCATGAAATGTCAGTGATGTGTTTGTTCCAGTTTACCGGACATTTAAGTTATTGTTGTTGTATTGAAAGGTGGACTATTTTAAGGGTTAGATTTGTGTTCAAAGGAGAAGTAAACTCAAAACATTTTTTCACAAGAATTTGTTCTATGTGGCCTCAGGATTCGAAACATGGCATTCTGATTAATATTCCGTTATAGATGAATATGAATCAACCAGTAAATTCCAACCATTTTTATCCATCTCAGGCGGCGGCCATTTTGCCATTTGTTGTCGACTGAAAATGATATCAGTTGCTCATGTCTCATGTAATGACAAATCCCAACTCAGCTTGCGAATGTCACAGGACCAAACGCAGAAAACAGGAGAGGCGTGACTTGTCGTTACCTGAGACCTGCGTAACTGTGATGTCATTTTTAGTCAACAGCAAGAAAATGAGTTGAATTCCCCTTTAGCAGGGACTTTGTATTTCTGTGTTTCGGGGAAGACATTTATTCATGATGATACATTGTTGTCCGTTAGTGGGATTAAAACACTTTAATTTATGGTAAAGACAAATATTAGTTTTTTTCATGGAAACAAAACCACATTTCAATTGAAGATCCCTGGTTTAGGAAACTCACTTTCCATAGGCAAAGCACTCTAACTGGGCAGTGTGTCCGGCAAGGGCGTAGGTCTCCGCCGGGAAGCGTACCTTGATGCTTGGAGCGGACTTCTTTGGATTGGCTACAATCAAACCAGGAAGTTAATTTCACTGAGATCATTGATTTGTTATTGTCTAATGACAATCATTGGTGTGCAAAAAATGAATTTGTTGCTTGATAGAGATCTAGAACCATCTTATGTCATAATTATACCCACTTATGGTGGTATTATCCGCTGTGTAAATGAACATGCAAAAAAACAAATGCAGTACCAAGTACAGCGAATCCCATAGGACAGGGGTCCCCAACCGGGCACACTTCGTGGTCAGGTGACCGATGACGCTCATAAACAAAACGCTGAAGCCCGCAAAATGAGTAAAAAAGCTGCTTGGAGATCGCAAATGACGGCGGCCTTAAAAGTACGTTCGAAACAACTGGATCAAAGTTATAGCTGAATACTCTGAGATCGCCACAATAGCACTGTTGCTATTTCCGACATCCTACCTGTGTGAGGTGGGGAGTTTCTGCAGCAACGGCGACTAAAACAAAATTACGAAGTAGACTGGACATAAACCACACACTTGAGGTGTCATTGTCTCCTATTACCCCGAGATGGGACTGTCTGATTGCAGAAAATCAAGCTCGGTGCTGTGGTGAGTTGTCATTTTCATGCACTTTGAATTTGCGTTGTATCGTATTTTGAAGGCATTAAACATTACCAGAGCGATAAGAGTGTTGCGACCAGATTAGACGCTCCTTGTGTTTATTATATTTCGAAAACACCACAGTTTTCATGCAGCTCATACCATATTATTTTGTTGTATTAATCCGCCACACCTTAAATGCCGGTCCCTGAAAATATTGTCTGATTTAAACCGGTCCGTGGGGCAAAAAAGATTGGGGACCCCTGCCATAGGAAATCTTTCAGATGTTTTTTTTTTTTTTTTTTTTTTTAATCTATACCAGTATCGTACTGGATGGAAACACAACTACACTGTAGTTCAGCCCATTATTACATCGTTGAGGTCAACCAGTAGCTGGTCAAGGAAGTTTTGGTCGGTCACATGGCATGAACTGCCATGTGACTGATCAACATGATCAACAACTGCCATCACTGCCGGCCGTCCCAATTTAATGCTATTGATATAGCTGCCTGTCAACGGCAGTGGACAAGTTGAGAAAAAAAATGAAGAGAATAGATGCCCGGCTCTGTCACTTGACTGACGTACAGGGCAGCCAGTCATACACCTGTTGCATATGTCACACTGCACTTCCATGTACAAGAGCGTGATCTGGCAAAAACGCTAGCAAACTAGCAGTTGCCGTATTAGACTCTCAATTTGTTTCGTCTAATCTAAACTGAATAATAAAGTATAAAAATAATTAGGGGAACAAGTAAGCCAAGGATGTCCATCTTAAAAAAAAAAAATCATAAATGTGTCCAAATTTAGGATAGAATATTGAGATGCACTGTAGCTATGTCAGCAAGGCATGGCATTTGCGTGTTACCTTCAGGCAGCACGGTGAGTTGGTTAGCTTTGCTGAAGGTACTCTTCGTACTGATGTCCATGTTGATGGTAGTGAAGCAGAAGTAGTTTCCAGTGTCGTTGGGCTCCGCTTTGGCCAGGTAGAGGTTACCTGTTACCTGGGATACAAACCAGCGGCCATCATCTTTCTTGATGAAGTTGGGAAACTCATTGAGGAGCCACCGGTAGGATAGAGCTGCAAAGAGGGAAGATTTGTGTTTATCTAATTAAGTCAAAGTGCAGGAGTACATTACCTTTAAGAGTAAGTCACCCTTTCGTCCTAAAAGTTTAAAATACGACATGCACAGCATACTTGGCATTAAAATGTTACCTGGGTAATGTGGAGGTGGCTGACATGCCAGGAATGTTCCGATGCCTTCATAAGCTGTCTGAGGACTCCTGCTGTCAGGAGGGAAGTCGTGAAGGTCTAAAGAAAAGAAGAAAAAAAATCATCACACAAAAAAGAGCAATATGGACCAGTCACATGGCCGGCTATTCGGAACACACAAAATCACTTATTTTTCACAATGTCAAAACTCAAGTTCAATGACATTGTATCCTATAAAACATCACTAACATTGTACATGGAAACTTCTAGAAAACATTCACAATGTGTTTCAAAATTCTGAATGGCGTTATAACTTCATCTATTTATTAATTTTCCATACCGCTTGTCCTCATTAGGGTGAGCTGGAGTCAATCGAAACTGACTATGGGGGAAAAAGCCAGGTACAATTAGTGGAGCCCAGAGTTCAAAGTAAACATGGTGAAGCTGCATTTAGCCATGATGCTGCACACAAATGGAATAAGCTAACAACACAAGTGAAGTCAGCCCTGAGTGTAAATGCTTTTGAATGCAGGTTAAAACCGATTCTTCTTACACCATTTGATTAAGGTCCTACAAACAATTTTTTATTTTTATTTTTTATTTTTTTAGGAACCCACTTCTATTTCTTCACTGTACTTTAAAATGTTTGAAAATTTTTATGTTACTGTGTTTAAATTGTGTTACTGTACATACTACTAATTTGTGTATGCTATTTTTCTCTGCTGCCCTTCTGAATGTTGTTAAGTGTTTGTACAAAGCACATTGTGTTGCCTTGTGTACAAAATGTGCGATATAAATAAAAGTGCCTTGCCTTGCCTTACACCGTGGATTGGTTGTCATTCAATCATCGGGCACATAATATCCATTCAAGGAATTTTATCACACATGGTGACACTGGCATGCACCACACACATACATTACATTTCTAAACTCATTTCCAACCCAGTTGAATCTATAAACTTGACACCACACCATTTCCAAAGGCGCATGGAAAATTAGATGGAACATTGATACCAATGCACATTTCCATTTGATACGGCCGGAAATACAACACTCAGTTGTCCAGGTTAGCCCAGTAAATTCCCAAGACTCAAAAAAATAAAATGAAACAAGTGGGCCAAATCATGATTTTTCAAGATACTATGCCTTTTGTTTTTGAAAGACAAATACTTTTTGTGTAGCCCATGCAAACTTGGAACCCCATCAGTATTTGAAAAGGAGCAATGCATCAGGGAGTTCCGAAGATGATCACATTTGAATTCAAGGATTATGTTTTGGATCAAATCGGGAAAAAGAGAATAGAAACTTGCACAAGGGCAAAATGCCAGCATTTAGAGGCAGCCCTGGAACTGATACTTTCGCGGAACGGAACTCGTTAACGTGCAACATTTGCATGTATGAAAAAAGAATGTTCTTCTGAAAGTTATTGGGTCCCATTTTAAAAATGTTCACCCCCACTCCAGATGGTGGTCATGGAGCTTAAAAACGGAAGCACATTTGGCAACCGTGGGACTGTTTTCGGGAGAGGCTCAGAGTAGAGCCGCTTCTCCTCCACATCGAGAGCCAGATGAGGTGGCTCAGGCATCTAATTAGGATGCCTCCTGGACGCCTCCCTGGTGAGGTGTTCCGGGCATGTTCCACTGGCAGGAGACCCCGGGGACGACCCAGGACACGCTGGAGAGACTATATCACCTAGCTGGCCTGGGAACGCCTCGGGATCCGCCAGGAAGAGATGCAACAAGTGGCTAGGGAGAGGGAAGTCTGGGCTTTCCTGTTAAAGCCATTGCCCCTGCGATCCAACCCCATATAAGCGGTGGAAAATGGATGGATGGATGGATGGATGGATGGATGGATGGATGGATGGATGGATGGATGGATGGATGGACTGTTTTGTGATTAAGGGCGAGCCAAAAATTTTTGACTTGACTTGATTGAAGTTACGATGAATCATCCAGCCCTAGGTCATATTCACTAATAAAAGATGGGAGTTAATAAGGTTTACTTTACCATTTCTTATATCAGGCATTCATGAACACATCTTTTTTTTCTTTTCTATGATATATTTAGACAACAGGATTTCTTTTTAATTTGTTTGCTTGACAATTCTTCTATTGATTTATTGACATATGAAACTCATTCAAAAGACAAATCTGATGAATTGTGCAGACAACTGAATAAGAACTACTGACATTTATTTTGGTGAGTGTAGAGAACTGTAACTTTACTTACAGCCAAATTTCAGGTTTGCTGCTCTGCTGATGATAGTTCCACAGCGGTTGATGGCAAGACACTGATAAGAACCCGTGTCTCGACCAGACTCGGGTCTACTGATCACCAAATTGCCAGCAACCAGAGTAAAACGGAGGTCTAAACCCAGCGGGACCTCAGTACCATTCACCAACCACCTGCACGTCAAACAGAAAAAGCCATACAAGAATAGTTTAAATAAAAGGTCCCATGAAATACATATATAATATAGATAGATAGATAGATAGACAGATAGATAGATAGATAGATAGATAGATAGATAGATAGATAGATAGATAGATAGATAGATATAAATTTAGGATCTTGAACTGGTTCAATTTTACATTGTTTAACTGCACATGCTGATTTCTATAATCTAGGTAACTTTTTATTCATTTATATGCCACCCCTCTTAGACCATATCTTTCTTTTTTTCATTACAGTAATCCTCGCTATAACGCGGTTCACCTTCCGCGGCTTCGCTGTTTCACAGATTTTTTTAGTGCAGTTTTTTTAATACTTTTTGCAATGAATTGTGTTCTGCATCCTGATTGGCTAAGGGACTGACCAACTGAACAGTCTCCGCACCTTGTGTCTGTACAGCTTGCCAAATTTACCTTTGCAAATTTTTGGTCTTTGGTTTCATTGTATCAGTGGCGGAGGCTGGTCTGTCAAGGAGGGGAAGCTCAATTTCGGCCTACATCATAAAATGTGTCTGTCTATTGATACGTGAATTCTACTCTCCGTTCCTTTTTTAAAAGAATGAAAAGGATGACTTCAACATAAGATCGGTGATTGGCTCATTTCGCTGTCAATCAAAAAGAGATTCAGCCTCAGAGAGATCATCCAATCATCATGCAGAAAAGCTGAGCTTCCGGGTCAGCCTATAAACGGCCACTGTCCATAGACTCCCAGAGACGCTGAGCATCCAATGGGCGGGACAAAGCCAGCATTTATCCAATGACTCGTCTCGTTTCAATGCATTGGGACAACCTAACGTGAACTCTCGAGACGGCCAGCGTCCGCGAGGTTGACGCTCAGCGTCCACACAGTTTAAAGCACAGTGAAGCTGCGGGAATGAATGAGAAGACAGTCGCGTCGTAACCAGTAATAAGAAGCTGATTCGGAACAAAAGTTGAGCGTGTTGTAGCGCATATTTAGTCAATGACATGTCCACACAATTGTACGTACACACACATATTTGATCACTTACTTTTTGACATTGTAGGGGAAGCTGAGCTTCCTTTGCAGTCTTAGAGCAATCGCCTATGCATTGTACACATAGTTCAGTATTGTATAATAACTGTAAAAAGTACCAAGTACAACTTTATTGTCAAGTGCGCTGCATGTGAAACATACAGCACCTTTGAAATTTCGTCCCTCTCACATTTTTTTGCTTTTTTTTTTTTTTTTTTTATAAATCCTACTTCACGGATTTCACTTATCGCTGGTTCTTTTTGGAACGTAACCCGCGCGATAAACGAGGGATTACTGTATTATGATCTATAGCAGGGGTCCCCAACCGCCGGTCCGCGGACCGGTACCCGTCAGCCGGGC